ACGACTTGGGAGACCCAGGCGATGACGACAGCGCCACTTAACCATCGTGCGACAGAATCGAACTCAGGCCAATGAAACGTACGTAAGATGCGTTTCACTTCATGACAACTCCAAAACCCCATCACCAAGGACGAATCCATAGCAGACGGCTTACGCCTGAACGAGCTTAATCCGGCAACACGCTACACAGAACTGCCGGAGAATTTGTCGTACGACACAGGCGTATCGTGTTGCTATAATCCCTGACTGACGGAAACTGAAGAGGCACGGAGCTACGCAATTTTTATCTTGCTTCAACCGTAACGGAATATTAAACTAAACATTCTGTCATATACGAGGATTACCACAGACCTTTCATTTGCACGGGAGATGATACGCGGCTCAGTCCGATTCATACGCATTCCACTTCGATCCATGCGCCTGGAGAAGGAATAAAATCCGCCTGGAACGATATATTGACCTCGAACAAAAGAGGGTAGGCGAAAGCTAGCGTAAATTCCAAAATTTCTGCCGAGGTCTCGGGTAACAATTTCCTGTTGGCGATACCGAGGTTATCCGCTCCGACTTGCAGTGTGTTGATTCCCCGTCTGCAGTGACTGCCGGATCATCCAAACGCATGGACGTGCTAACACTCCAGACGCCCGCCACACACTGACACCCAGCGGCGATCAGAGCCCCACGAGGACTCGATTGGATGAAGAGGTTGATTCTCAGGTCGGCCTGAATGTGTGCCGATTAAGATGGTCGTTTTGTGGAGTGCCGCGGCAAGTGGTCAGAGTGATGATCGCCCTGATAATGGAAGCATAAAGCTCCTCTGAAACGTTTGTAAATTTCTGCTACACACACCATCTCAGAAGACATCATCATATCCGATGCCGTGAGAACCTGAAATCTCAAACCAGTTCCTTGACGATCACAGCGATTAAAAACTTTGGAACCAATTATCTCAAACTGAAGAGGTTACGAACTAAACTTAACACAGAAAGCAATCCTTGAGAAACTGTTAGCTCCTCAGACAATCAAATTCTCCACTCTTTATGAAGTCGAAGGTCCATTACCGTGACGGATAAATCCATTGGACGCTCATATTCTACTTCACATCCACTTTAATAATATCACGCCCAGGAATCCCCCGTAATCTCATGGTTGCACTGGAAGCCACACAATCAGCAATAACAACATGGCGGACGCCCGAATTTGTAAGGTGAAACGTTTTGACGTTATGACCGACAAATTTAGTGTAGGCAAAATCTGTAGGACGAATTACATAGTAAGTTCGTCTCAAGGAGAAAACTGACAAAACAAGACAGAAACAAATGACATGTTTAAAATTGCAGGCAACAGAAATTCAGAGCGGAATGAACTTCCACCCGCACGCGATGCCACAATTAGACAGCGTTTCATTACTCGGCTACGCTCGGAATGCTCAAATATGGCATTAAGAACACGCGACTTGTAGCAAAGTTTCAAATGAAAGCTATTCGTCGAATGAAGTCAATAGAAGTTCGGCTCCATAAATACTATCGCCTCTTATAGAGGAACCTGGACGGAGCCCTGCGAGTTAACATACAAACACACGGCGCCCGATTTCCGATCCGAGCCAAGTCCCTGATCCGAGCAGGACCTCGCACTGGGGGGCGACGCGACGACGCAGCGATCCTCATTATTTTTCTACGCCCGTCCATCTTTCAACACCACAAAATTTATCCTAAGACAACTAAAACCCTCCTTCGACACTCGCCTTGAGTCTCTGTTCCATCTCCAAAGAGATGAACCGAGTATTTAAAAACTCCTTGCGTCATCCAGAAACATTACCTGAATCTTTCACTATCTGACTGCATGCATTTCCCATCACATGCATGCTTCATTCCCGACCCATCTCATCATCCTTGTTTACCCAAATAATATTTCGCGAACACATCGCATGCTGACGAAATACGAAGACATTTGCGCGCAGTTCAGTAAGAAAATTACTGCTTACCGCCGTGAACACTCCACATCTGCATAAATGATGGTCAAAGGCGCACAGATGCGGGACCTGGTAGGCGTACCAATTTGCTCTACGTTGCACACACAAATTTTGTC